GACCACAGGCACCCGCCACAACGCCCGGCTATTTTTTGGTTGCAGCCATTATTGTTGTTTGGCAGGCCCGGGCTGGATTCAAACTCGCCACCTTAGGTGTATGTGGCTGGAGCCTTAGCCGCCTGAGCCACAGGCGCCGAGCTGGGGAGGATTTCTTGATCCCAGGAATTTGAGGTTGCAGGATGAGTGAACAAAGTTAAGTTAGCTGAGTTTTAAGTGTAGTCCCACAGAATCCCTTTGTGTGATCTGGACAAGTGCCAAACTCAAACATTTTCTAGATCTCTATGGTCCTCTTGCATGGAACAGGGGCAACTGGGATTATTTGTGAGGATCTATCCATCCCTAGGTTCTGCTGTGTTCAGTGAAGAGACTGCCATGGCAGGTATGTCTGATGAGGGTGTGACCTTCTCAGGTCTGTGGTGTGGCAAGTGAACTGGGATCCCTTCGCATGGGGATAGGTAAATCTCGAGTTCTTTGAGGTAGGAAGGGCAAGGTATTTTAAAATAAATCTTTGATGAAAACTTAAAAAAATTGATTTCCTTTGCCTCCTTTTCTTTAAACTAAAACACACTGAAAACTTCAGGTTAACTGAGATTTTGGTGAGTTGTATTCCCTTTAACAGAGGTAGACTGTCTTTTACCTTAGAGAATGAAGGCAAACTACATTCTGACTCAAGCCCTGTTGGGGATCCCTGGCCTGACTCAGCAGGGGTCCTCTCTTCTTAGGAAGGCACATACAAACCTATTGGCTTTGTGGACCAACTGGCAGTTCACTTCACCCAAGTTGGGAACCTGATCCCCAAAGACTCAGATGAAGGACGGCGACAACATTATCGTGAGGAATTAACAGCAGGTAGGACTCTGGGCCAGCCTGAGGCTGCAGCCTTGGGCTTGGTCCTCTTTTCCTGGTCACTTTAAGGAGTAGACCCCCTAAGCTAAAAGTAGAGTATCTACTGACATGAGAATCATAGATAGCTGTCTGTCCAGAATAGATCGGGAGCTAACCCATGACAAATAGGCTAAAGACAACCCCAGGGCAAGGCAGGGTCTGAAAGGAAGAAACCAAGAAGGCCCTTCCTGCCAGAGATGGGGAATCAGACCTAGACTTTGAGCTTATTGTCAATATCCTACCAAGGTTCTCAGGATTCTGCCAAGGTGGTGATTTCAGAAACAGAAAATCTTGAAGAAGATGAAGAGCCCAAGGAATTAGAAGCTGAAGCTGGAAGTCAAGTAGATGAGACTGCAGCTGGGGTATAGTATAATATTGCTCTCCATTCATCCTCTTCCAGCTCAGACTCTGACTGGGGCTTCAGGGGTGACTTATGGTGCAAGGAGGGAGGCTGAAAGTGAAAAGTTAAATGTTGCAGGTGCCACCACATCTGGCAGCATTACTTTCTCCCACCCCTATCCTATCCCATGGACTTCTGTCCTGCTCCAATTCTCCACCACTTCCTCATAGCTAAGTCCCGGTCCTCTGTGTCTTTATTTCCAGATACCTGAAAAAGTGACTGAAGAATCAGTGGAGACTATGCAGCCCAAGGAGCGAAAGCTCACTAACAAGTTCAACTTCAGTGAGAGGGCCTCACAGACTCTCAACAACCGTCTCCGGGTAAAGCAGCCCCCATCCTAGCCCCTTTGCAGCTCCACAGTGTACATGGCAGGGAGAAAGAAGCTCTGGCTCCAGCTGCAGAAGCCCTCAGTGTGCTAGGGGGGCAGGGCAAATGCCACAATTTATCTTTCCAAGAAGAGCTGAGAACATGTGTTCAGGTCCCTGTAAGGCATCCTGGCAGGAGTTCAGAGGGAGTAACAAGGAGGCTAGGGCCCTCCAAATACTCCACTAAGAGACTTAAATTCAAGCTGGAGTTTGAAAATGGGGCAGATATCAGCACCTGAAAGGAGAGAGGACACTGCAGGGTGCTGGGGTAGTGGGACATCTAGGAACCAGTTGGCTGAAGTTGATGGCTCTGTGATATACCATCTTCTGGAAGAAGCCAGAAAGATTCTCTGACTTGTAAGTGTGAAGGATCCCAAGAACCAGGCTCAGGGTCTCAGGCAAGAGACTCATACACATAAGGGCAGTGTTCTACAGAAATGAATCTGTGGATGGAGGGTGAGGTCTATGGCACAAGTTTCTGACAGTCCCTCATCACCCTCTGTGGTCCCTCTACTGACATTTGGAGATCTGGGTGGTAAGGAATGGGGAAGGGCCGTGTTCCCTTGCTGGAGCTGGAGACCCCAGTATTAGGTAGAAATCTTCTCAAGGTGATGGACATTAACCTGATGGCCTGCCAGAGGCTGATTTCTGTACCCTGCTCTGGCTTCCTATGTATCTGTCCATCCGTCGCTTGCAATTTATCTTGGTTAAGACTGGCAGTCAGCTTTCACTGCCCCTGCTTTCTGGCTTATGCTTCTTCTATGGAAGGCCAAAATGGATAAAATGTGGGCTTTGAATGCCTCATTTGGTCTTTTGCCCAGGCCCCTCTTTACTTTTCCAGTTCAGTGTCCCACCCCTTCCTCAGCTCCAAACAAAATGCTTTTTCCAAGGATGTACTGTTAGGTTAAGTGAGAAGGAGTTGAGAGCTTTCTGGGGGTTTCCTGTTATTGTTCTCTAGGACCGGGAATGCCAGATGGAGCCTCCTCCCAGAACAAACTTTTCAGCCACAGCCAATCAGGTAAGACTTGGCCCAGCCTGCAATCTTTCACCACCACTATGCATCATTTTCACATTCAGCAGCAAAGGAGACTGACCTGGTCAAGAACTTCTCTGGTAATCTTCCCTCCTTATCCACCCACCTCCCTGCTCATTTTCCTGAGCATCCATCCAGGCCTTGAATGCCATGCACTTGAGACTGTAGGTCCCAATCCAATAAGCTGTGGGCCAGCCGCATGCCTGCTGGGCAAGGCCATCCTAACTAGAAATGCAGATGGCTTCTGTAACTTCTTTCAGGACCAAGGAGAATGTTTGTTCCCATGGACTTTCTAGTGCCTTGTGGCTGACTCTGAAGTGTTAGCACTCTGACCTTGCCCTCCCAGCAGCCTGCATTGTCTCTGCACAGCCTTCTCCTTCTCCCTTAAGTCCTGGATAGCTATTCTGTTTTGGGCAGGATATGGTACCAGGAGACCTGAGCTCAGGCACCAAATCTGGGAAAACCATGTCACTATAATGCCTCAGTTTCTTTCTCTGTCAAGAGAGGATGACAAGCTGCCTCATAGAATTGTTGGAGGGCTCTGAATGAGATAACAAACACTGAAGTACTTTTCAGCATGGAGTACTAGTCCATCAGTGAATTATTAAATGTAAGGTGTGCTGTCTGGCCTCCAGGTGGCAGTGACTGCCCAGCTCTGGGGAGCACACAGTGTGATCTGGGGCATTTGCCCAGCCCCCAGGTCTGCTACTATCTTTGAGCTTCTCTTGCTGTCAGATTGGGGTTCCTTTACCTTTTGCTTATTTCCTTTTAATGCTGAGGTGTGGTCAGTACTGTAGACAGCCAGCCTGAGACACTATGTTTATGCTAACTCTGTGGGGGGGATACATTTTTTAAATTTCCTAATTCAGAGTCTTATAAATCGCCAAGAAAAATGTGAGCTAGCCTGATGTTTGCTCATTTGTTCTGCCTAGCAGGAATTGCAGAGTAAAACAATATTGATCTCCAGCTGGAAACCCAGACTCTGGGCTTCAGGATGGATAAGTCCAACCCAGAGGTATCCTGAGAACTCGTGTTCTTGTTCCAGGACTGATGGTTAGCAGAGAAGACAGACATTGAATGCATAATTATAATGAACCAAGTAGAGGGTACCTGTGACAGCCATTAATGTGATCAACTCTGTAAGCCCTGAAGGCCAAAAAGGAGCTTTCTGGGTGAAGATTGCACCCCACAATGATCTCTCTCATCTCTTCTTTCCTAGTGGGAGATTTATGATGCCTATGTAGAGGAGCTTGAGAAGCAGGAAAAGACCAAAGAGAAGGAGAAGGCAAAGATGCCAGTAGCTAAAAAAACAGGGAAGATGGCTATGAGGAAGCTGACATCTATGGAGTCCCAGGTTTGCTGATGGTCCCCACAGCTCTGTCACAGAATGTCTGAGTGGGTCTTTGGTCTTTAGGTGGCCAGAAGCCAGAACCCTATCTGGGAGGGTTTCACAGATACTTAAATCAGGGGCTAATATTGAGGAAAGATGTGAGGAGAGCTACATATGTTTCTAGCATTCCATATATACCCCCAATTTTATATGGATCTGGAGTCTAGTGGTGTTTTGAGACTGTTTGGCTAGGAGCAACAGAAGATGTGACCCTTATTGAAAGCACTATCTGCATCCTAGAAGATCTGAGGAGTCTGTATAGGGTGGGGGTGGATGTGAGAAAGCACCACTTCCTTGGGCAAGGGTTCATGGGATTTGGGAAGGTGAGATGCTTCTTAACTTCTAGTCTTTGGGTTTACTTGTGCCCTATACTTAAGTGAGTCTTCAGGGGCAGGAGCCAAGTCAGAGATGGTCCTAGGTACCATCAATGCCAGGCCAATGGATATGGCCACCCAGGGCTGGTGTACCATGAGGAGCCATGTAGAAGTCATTATAAAAGTCATGGTTGGGAGCTCACTTTGTGTGAGATGGGCATATGTTTGGGAATCATCGTGGGAGTTATGGGTATGTAACTATAGGGAGTCAGTGCAGGGAGGTCAGCACAGAAGATGCTGAAGTGCCACACTTGGCCCTTTAACAGACATAAATCTGGATTGGGAGCCAGAGTGACAGTGTGAATTAGAATAGGTTTGATCTGCACTGGGGTGGGAAGGACAAGGTCCACAGCAAGCTGGGGGTTGGTTTCAGCACCTTGGAGAGCTCCTTGGGCTGCTCTCAGAGAGGAGGTTCTGTTCCGCTCCAGAATAACAGCTGGACCAGTTAAAGAAAATTCTACTTCCTTTGTCTGAGGTGTACCTACTTCCACTCGGTTCTCTGTTCTGATAACATGATAACGTCATATCTGAGGGACAATGTTACATTTAGCCCCTGCCTTGGCTTAATAAGAATCCCAATTCACTTTTATTCAATCATTGACCAGGTACCCAGTGATCATGGCCATGCTGGGTACTAGAACTCTGAGTTGAAAGATGGAGCCCCTGTCCTGAGGGTTGCCCTGTGTAGGCCCGTGGCTGCTTCTGCACCATTCTCTAGAGGTTAAAGATTTCAGAGTGGCTCGGCGCCTATAGCTCAACCGGCTAGGGCGCC